GTTTAAGAAACAATTTATCTGCAATTCGTGGGTTTAATATTTTTTTTGAACAGCAAAGACAATTTTTATTGAAATGAGTACAAGGGGTACTCAACCCATTTTACACAAACTAAGAATATAGTCAAGAGGTCATTACTTTACAACCGACTCTTCCAATGATGACTTTCCTTCTTCCACATCTATCTTTCATGCATTCAACAGGATTAAGTAGCCAATCAGAAAAAGTGAAGGCATACCTGTCATTTCTTGCTTTGACCCATATGAAAGACCTCAGTTGAATTAGTTCAAACATCTTCCTCGCATTAACCTCTTTGTGTTGGAATAAGTTTTGATTGCGAGCAAGCCATACAGTCCACACAACCGCACTCCATATGCAATCCCATCCTTGTCTGGTTCGTGTCTCTTTGCTCCATTCTCCAAAATTCTCAAAAGTCTTCGAGCAGTCGATGTCGATATTTGCCTCAGCCCCCCACCATTTGGCGCATGCTTCCCACAACCATTGAGTCATCCTGCACCTTAAAAATAAATGTGCTGAGTCCTCTTCTTGTTCTTCACATATAACACACTTGCTCTCCTTCAAGTCTTTAATTATCCCTCTTCTCAACAAATTCACCTTGGTTGGTATTCTATCCAACATTAGTTGCCAATTGAAAGCTGATACTTTGGTTGGGAGAATTGGGTTCCATATTCTTTTGAATATTGTAGATCCACTTGGTCCACTTTGATCAGTTGCTAATAGGTGGTACGCTGTTTTTGTTGAGTAGTGTCCCTCCTTGTCATGAATCCATTCCCATTTGTCGAGGCATCCTTGAGTAATCTTGATGCCCTCTATCATCCTTTCGAGTTCCACGACCTCTTTGGCTTCCCATCCGAATAGATTTCTTCTCCATGTTAATTTCCATTCCCATGATCCACTCCTTATGTTGCCCATTTGATTGCATGTATTCTCCTTCCCTGTTGACAGAAGATACAGCCTAGGAAACTTATTAGCAAGGCAGCCCTCCCCTCCCCAATTATCCCACCAAAAGCTGACTGATTTTCCTTCCCCAATTTTCATTCTAAATCCCTCCGACAGCCATCCTACACTCTCTTCATTCACTCTATCAAGGCAACATACATCTCTCCACCATAAAGATCCCCCTCCATTGTTTTCTTTAATCCAGTCCATTCAGTGCTTCCCACCCTTCCCATATTTCGTTGTAATTACTTTTCTCCATAGTCCCTTATCTCTTTTTGCTAACCGTCCCCACCATTTCCCCATCAATGCCAAGTTAAACTTCCTCAATTCTCTCACTCCCAACCCTCCCTTAACTTTACTTTTACATACATCCTCCCAACTTACCCAATTTATTTTCCTCTCCTCCGCCCCCCTCCCCATAAAAAGCGTCTACGAATTTTATCAATTGAAAGGAGTGTACCTTTTGGGATTAAGTAGGTTGACATTAGGAACACGGGCAGAGAAGACAACACTGAGTTGATGAGCGTGATACGACCTCCCATAGAAAGGTATCGGCCCTTCCAGCTATCTAGTTTCCTCTCTACTGATTGAACCATTGGTTGCCACATTGATTTCCTTCTGTTGTTCCCCCCAATTGGAATTCCCAAGTATTTAAATGGGAGTTCCCCTTCTTTACATTGCAATCTGTATGCCATTTCTGTTTGCCAACTCTCTGCTACTCCCACTCCCATTAAATGGCTTTTTTCGAAATTGATCTTTAGTCCTGAAGCAAGCTTGAAGATCCTCATAATAGTCTTCACCACTCTTATGTTATCTTCCAAAGCCTCCCCAAAAAATACCATGTCATCCGCGAATTGTAAATGTGACACCATGACACCTTCATTCCCTACCTTCACTCCTTTATATATTCCTTTTTCCATTGTCGAGGCCACTAAACCATTCAACCCCACTATCAAGAAAAGAAATGGTGATAGCGGGTCTCCTTGTCGTATGCCTTTGCTAACCGAGAATTGATTTGTTGGGCTACCATTAATTAGAACAGAAACCGAAACTGATCTTAGGCACTCCATTATCCATTTCCTCCAAGTTTCATTAAAACCCAACCTCATCATCATGTAATCCATAAATTCCTAGCATACTTTGTCATAAGCTTTCTCAAAATCTACTTTAAATATGAAGCAGCTCTTCTTCTTCCTTTTGACCTCATCAATGACTTCATTTGCAATGATAACACCATCCACTAATTGTCTACCCCCAATAAATGCCATCTATTGCTCCCCGATGACCTTGGGTAGCACCTTTTGCAACCTGTTCGCTAACAGCTTTGCTATGATCTTGTACATGACCCCTATAAGAGAAATGGGTCTATATTCTTCAATTCTTTGGGGGTTTTCTGTCTTTGGGATTAACACAATGAAGGAAGCATTGGCTCCACGGACAATTCTACCATGTTTGTGAAACTCCCGAATGAAAGCAATTACCTCCGGCTTTATATCTTCGCACATCTCTTTAATGAATCTGAAATTGAATCCATCTGGACCTGGAGATTTGGAAGAATCACAATCCCATATTGCTTCTTTAATTTCCTCTTCTGAAAATACTCTTGTGAGAAGCTCGTTATCTGCTTGTGATACTTGCTTGAAGCTAACCCCATCTAACTTTGGTCTCTTCCATCTTTCTTCTGTGAACAATGTTTGGAAATATTTAGCCACCTCTTCTTTGATTTTTGTCACCCCAGTGAACTGTTCACCATCTATCTGGACTGAATTAATTTCACGTCTTCTCCATCTTCCTTTGATGCAATTGTGAAAGAATCTTGTATTCGCATCTCCTTCTTTTAGCCACATCTTCCTTGATTTTTGTTGCGACATCCTCTCCTTGATTCTTAAATTCTTCCACAGATCAAGAAAGCTGCTTTTCCTCATTTCAATCTCATCTGTGGATAGCTGGTTGTTCTTTCCTTTCTCATCTATCTCAGCTATCATATTTTCAACTTCCTTTATTTTCCTGTCCATCTCTAACCCTACCTTAGCACTCCATTCCTTTAGGGCTTTCTTTGTTCTCTGCAATTTTTCTTTAAGTATAAAGCCACTCCACCCCTTTACTTCTGTGGATTTCCATGAGTTTCTAATTACCTCTCTGCACCCTGGTTGTTCCAACCAACTGTCGAAGAATTTAAAAGGTTTTGGGCCCCAATCTACCTTCTCATTCTTCAATAGGATTGGACAATGATCTGATACTGTTCTCTTCAACCCCCACTGCTTAATATCACTCCATTTAGAAATCCAATCCTCTGAAACCAGGAATCTATCTAATCTACTCATCTGTTGTCCATTGGAATTATACCAAGTAAACTTCCTTCCCAGCAAAGGCAAATCAATTAATTCAATTCTCCTAATAAACTCATCAAATTCCTTCATTTCTCTGGACAACTCCTTACACCCTGCCCTTTCCTCTACTCTTCTAACTGAATTATAATCTCCTGTCAAGCACCAACACCCTTTTTTGCTTTTAATCAGGTTATACAGCTCCTCCCATAAAGCTCTTTTTCTCGTTAATTGGCAAGGGGAGTATATGTTTAAAATGAACACTGGTGTTTCCTCCTCCCCCCATACTCCAAACACCCCAATAAAATTATCCCCTTCTAATACTTCTTTCTTTTTAAATACAGTAGAATTCCATATGCACAATAAGCCACCAGATAAGCCATTAGAAGGTTTTGATACCCAATCCAGGTTCTCTGACCCCCATACCCTTCGGCATAAGCTTCTATCAATAATCTCTAGCTTCGTCTACTGAATTGCTAAAAATTCTATCATTTCCTTTAAAACAATTTCTCTAATCTGCCTTTTTTTCCCAACCCCACCAAGTCCTCTAATATTAAATGACAGAATTAACATTAGAGACTGTACATACCTTCTTGCTTCTAGCTTCCCCTTTGTTTCCCGTGGTCACTTTTCCGTGTCTGTCTCTACTTTCCATCTCTTCAATCCTCCGAATTGTCTCCTCCTCATCCTCCGTCGTTGCACCCAACTGCTTTGCAAGCTCCCATATTTCCTTCGCCAATCTGTTCTGCAGCTGTTTCTTCAGGGATTTATTACATTGATGAATCTCAGAATCACCGATTGAGTCTCCTGCTACTTTTCCGTTCGGGCTCGGCATAAAATCTGGTAATGCTCTCCTCAAACCCGGCTGTCCGTTGTGCTTTCCCCTTCCTCGTCCTCGGCTTCTCCTTATTTCATTGTCCATTTCAAATGATTTTAAATAGACTAAGCTGCAGTTTCTTACCCGCCGCCCCTTCCTTTTGATGCTTCCTTCGTTTTGGTTACTCATCCCTCTCTGTATGCTTTCGCTTTCACTCACATATCCTTCCCAGATCAGATCTGCATCTTCATCCTCGATATTATCCTCTGCAGTGCCATTTTCTTTGCAAAACTCCATTATGCCCTTTGCTTTTGGTTTTTTTACCCACAAGCTATCTTGGGCCAAGCCCATATTAGTAGACTCCACACACTCTAAACTTTCTTCATGTCTCATGGGCTTCTTGCATGCTTGATCATTCTTCTTAAAGCCCAAGTCAGGCCCATTATCATCTTCAGGCCTCATTGATGATGCCGACTTCCCATGCTTTTTGGTCTCAGTCTCTGCCTCTACATTTCTTCCCTGTACATTCAAATTTTGAATTTGTTCCAGGCTGTCTTCCACAATTTCTGCTGACTTCTGAATTTCCTGTCTACTTTGACTTTGAGCCATTCTCTCTTTCTCTCCATAATTTCTCAACATGTCATCATCTTCTTCCTGAAAACCCTCGGCTTCAACCTGCAACTCTTCCCCTGCATACTCGGATTTTTGCTCTTCCATGTTACTCTCGGTTGACCAACTCTCCTTTTCCTCCGAGTCACTTTGGAATGAAGGCATAAAATCTTGCTTCAAGGAAAATAAGCTATTTGTAAACTCTTCCTCTGTGAATTTAATATTGTAAATGATCCCATTAATCTTGATTTGTCTCAATACTGAAATTGAGTTTGAAATCGGGGTGGATATTAGAAATCTAGCAATGTCAAATCTCTTCTTTTTGCTAGTACTGTCATCCAAACAAATGAATTTCCCCCATGAGCTGCCCATTTTTTGGAAGAAATCAACTCCCCAAACATTCAAAGGTGCCCCTTGGCATCTCACCCATACAAATCTCTCTTTAGCAACCGTTTCTGGTGTCCAAGGGCGCACCTCTTCAAACCATTGCCCTAGCCATTCGGATGCCATCTCCACCAAATCCTTAAGTTCCTCCTTCTCATCACAGTCTAATAAGACCAATCTTCCTCCCATCGCATATGTTTTACAAGAGAAATACCCTTCCATATAAAATTTCTCTTGTAGATTGCGAACCATTTCTACTGTATGCACTGTACCCACATAACACCCATTGAGTCATGTATATTCTTCTGGTTTGATATTATATTCCATTCCCACCTAGTTTTCTCTCCTTCCTTTCTCCTGCCATCGTTTCCTTGGCTCTCTTTTTTGAAGCCCGTATCTGGTTCTGCTTTTGCTTCTTTCCTGAGTTATCTGATTTTGAGTATTGCCGGCTTCATTAAATATATTCCCCTGTTTTCCTTTCACCACCTCAGCATAACTTCTATTTTGATTCTGAGACACCCTTCCTCCACTATTATTTCTTTCCATGGCCTCATCTTGATTATGAACTTGCTCCTGTTTTGACCCTTCCCCGCTGATTCTTTTCTCCTTGCTTTTGTTCTTTTCATCATCATACCTCGGCCTGTTGACCCATAATTTCATGTCATTAACCCAGATCTGGTCCAGCTGCTGTTCCAGCTCCCTTCTGTCCTTTACTTCCAAAAACCTCACAAACCCAAACCTGCTTCCATTCCTGCTTCTCCTATTCGGGCTGTAAATATCATACACCCTCCCAAATTGCAAGAAAGTTCTCCACATATCTGCATATGTCCAGTACTCCGGGAAGTTGGTGAAGAAATAAGGAGTGGCTTGTTTGTAGAGACCCCAATCATACGGTCCTTCATTCTGTTTCACTCGACCCTGATATCGATTGGCTTGCCCTTGTCCCTGTCTCTCCACCTCTGACTTCTGCTGTTGGCCTCTTCTGCAGGATCCTACCCGCTCCCAGCTCAGTGCCGTCCCTGTTGCCCGTGTCCGTCGTCCGCCGTGAACCCCTCTCACTCTCTCTCTTCCTCTCTCTCTCATGACTCAAGAATCTAACTTTTTTATTCGTGGGTTTAATATTGATTTGTCACGAATTCCTAATAAAATTTTGTACTCAGCAGATAAAACAATTCTTAAAAATAATTACAATTTCGCGCAACGAGACTACCTTAGCAAACTGGAGTTTGCTCGTCATACTCTCTAAAAACAATTGAAATCAAAGTTCATGACAGATGAGACAAAAGTCACATTGATTTGTAATGGTTTTCATGGAAACTTAGATTTTTTTTAGAAATTATCTTCTTCATAATCAATGACTATCACTCTGAGTAGGGAAAGATTGATTTTGTACACAAGGCACTCCGGACATAAAAAATAAAATAAAAAGTTTTAATGCAAACAACGGAAGACAAGAAGGGTGTGAAGCTAGTATAAAGCTATCGTCTATCGTTTGTTGAAAAACAAAGGTATTTATATTGGTTCATGAAACTAAAATTTGCTAAAATTGACTCCGCTCTCCTATGATAATAGGTTTTTTGTTTTTTTAGCTAAACAATTTATATTTTTACCTAAAATTTTTTTAAGGACGCAAGTGTAAGCCTCATTTGTTATAGTAGGGGTCTTCCTGACATAGTTTGGTTCGGATTTTAATATTTTTTAAATTAATCTAATTTAATCGATTAATAAAATTTTTAAACAAATTCAATTCACTATTATATAATAATCAAATCAATCCAACTTAAATCGAATCACTGTGGTTCGGTCGGATTGATCGATTTTTAATATTATTAAATGTATTTTAACATCAAATAGAAAACATAACTATAAAACACATTAACATGTAAATTAGTAAAAAACATAATAAAAAATACAAATTATAAATAAGTTCTTATACTACTTTACATTTGTAAAATTGAAAAGATCTGAAAATTTTTCTTGGTTATATCACTAAAGGCACCAAGAACAATAAAAGATGATTTCAAGTTTCTAACACAGTATAAATAATAATTCTTAAATGTTAAAATTAGTTTTTTTAATGCATTAATAATTTAATCCAATCTTCTAATCCTATTAAAAGTAAATAAAATTTAACATGAATATCACTAAAATTGATTAGAAGCATTTATAATCAAAATTTAAAACTTCTAAACCAAATGTCTAAGAGTAATAGAATATCAAGACTAATTTTATTTTATAGTTTTAAGACTTTAGAATGATATTTATTTAAAACTTAATTAGGAAAATTATAAGATTATTTTAAGAATAAAGCTAGAAATTTATAGTTCTAAGAGTAAAGACGTAAACCAATTTTGAGGAGATAGAGTTGCAAGTGAATTAAAAATTTAGAATTAGGGAATAACTTAGGGAGTATGGAGATGTTTTATTTTTATTTTTTAATTAAGTTAATGAAGTTATTATCTTGTAAAATAAGAAAAAGAAATTTTAAAATACTAAAAGAAATATATTATATTATTTAATTAAGTTATCTTGTAATCATATTTTATTTTGTAATCGGACAGTTCAAACGATTTGAAGGTAAAATCACAAATCAAACCAATTATATCGGTTTTAAAATTTTATAATTCAAACCAACCCAATTTTATATCAGTTTGGATCGATTTTTGATTGGATTGGGTCAATTTAGATCATATCAATTAGATTTGATCGGATATGAACACTCCTAGTTATAAGCCTCATTTGTTAGGGTTCATATATATATATATATATATATTATGTTGATGACTTACTCCAATCAAATAAGGGAAACTTAATTTTGAATTATATATAAATTAATTTAAAACACGATTATTATTTATTTTATATGTACTTATATAAAAAATATAAGGGAAAAGAAAAAAAATATTTGATAATAATTATATAATAAATTTAATAGAATTATAGTTCATATATATCATATTTTATATATTTAATAATTATAATTAAATTTTTTAATATTAATATTTTTAATATCAAGATATTTTTATTCTTTCATTTTTAAGTATATAATTAAAAATGTATATTATTTCATGATAAGGATTCAGCCAATTC